CTGCCCATGCACTCTGCACGCCCACGCCTTCCCCCCTCTGCTGTCTGCATCCCTTTGCCTTTCCTTGTTCCTCCCTCCTGCTGTACTTCATTGATTTCATGCCATTGCTGCTTCAGAAGAGTTCGCAACTGCCACTACACAATCTCAACCTAGACAATCGCAGTCCTCTACAGTTGCCTACCCCTAGCCCTTCCGAAGTGATTATGCCTTCAGAGTTCCAGCCACCCTCTGTGGACAGGCTCGAGTCACATGTTTCGTTAAAGTTGTGTGATGTGCTAGCGAGCTAGTGGAAGGGAGTTGAAGCTGTTTGGGGTTGAGATGTCTGTGGCAGTAATTGCGAGACTCTCCATTCTCCCATTGCTTCTGTGCACTGTGTTTTTGAGCAAAGCACCTTGCAAGGTTTGCACAATGTTACTAGAAGTATGAGAGTCATTAAATCTCATGAAAGTCGGCTCATCATCATCTCACCCCTCGCGTTCCTCACCACCTTCCAATTCAAGACGTGTGTGTTTCTTTCATTTCCACCAGCCATGCCCTCTCTTCTTATCACGCTCAACTCACTCAACCCCACATAGGAATCTTTGCAGTAACAAGCTCACGGGCTCCATTCCTGACAGCATCTCTGCACTCATGGCACTCGAAGACCTGTAAGAGGCACACTGGGTTTGCTCCACATGCGTGCTGCTGTGCCCACTGGGTGCTGGATCTGCATGTCATGTGCGCATCACTCCTCCACTGCCCGTTCACTCTGCATGCCCACGACCAAGGTTCAAAAATACGGTCAGCGTGAAATACGGTCTGTTTTTTACAGTGAGTTCAAGGAAAAATACGGCCGTTTTTTTTTTTTTTTTTTTTAAATTTTTGCAACGACATCTTTTCCGAAACCTTCTTCAATGCTTACAGCAATGACCTGGAAGGTGAGCATATATGAAAAAAATAAGAAGCAGGCCTACAATGGTCTCCTACCCTTACTTAGACATGAGCAACGAGCGAACCGAACACGTTTGTCTCGAACAGTTTGCGAACACTTGGTCAATTCAAACAGTTTTCCTAAATGTTAGTGCTCCCCGTTCGATTATAGGGTCGAACAGTTTTGAGGTAAGGCCGAACACTAAGGTGTTAGACCCGAACTCGAACAGTTTGCCTCGGGGGGTTCTTTCAGTATAGTCACATTCAGGCAGGGCGAGTGTACTAGAAGCAATGTCACGTTCCCTATAGCCCTACAAGAGATATAGTTAGGCTTGATGCAGATCTGGTGGATATCCAATTTTGCCTTGCTAAACTCCAACCTGAATCGTAATGCCCTTAGCTCCTTTTTTTAACTGTCTCCTACTCTAATCCAACCTTATACCTAACGTTTCCAGCCACAAAGTGGAATTTTAATTGTGGGAATGTGTTAGTTTAAGTGGGTAGGAGGCGGAATGCCATCCTTAGGCTATATCGACAATTGAGCTCATTCTTGAGCTAAATCGTAGCCCTCCCCTTTTAGATCCAACCAGCGCGTCAAACTTTGACGTGCATAAAAATGCACGAACACCTAGGTGTTTGCGACGAACACATTGTGTTCGCGAACACCTAGGTGTTCGTGATTTTTTCTGCACACGAACACTCGAACAGTCGAACGTGTTCATGACGAACACCAAGGTGTTCGTCACGAACTATTTTGGGCAAAAAAACCATTCGAACACGTTCGAGTCGAACACTTTCGAGTCGAACCGAACAGGGCTTCGAATTTTTGCTCATGTCTAAGGGCGTGGACACACGTGCAAGGGCGGACCTGTACCACTCCACCTCGGAAGAGGTGACTGTCTGTGATAGCACCATCATAGCCAGCTCCTGGAGTGCTCGGGTCTCCCCACCGTACATCCTCCACCACTCCGCATCCGTCAAGCGCCCCCCTTCCACCGACGTTGTTGCTGCCCAATGGGCGTAGTCAGATCCCAACCGCCCCTCGCCTTTATGGAACTGGCCCAGCTGATCACACAGCAATGTGCGCTGAGCGACATCCCCCCCCCCCCCGGCATGGATCACCTTTTCCACACCTCTCCTTACCTCGGGGTCGTTTCTCACCTCCCCCATGTACTGGTTGGGGAGGTTGAGAAGCCAGCCTATCGCATGCAAGGGATTGTGCAGCTAGCCGTCCCACCTCTTGGCAATGATCAACTTGATGGAGGCCAAGGAGGTTGGTTTGTCTTTTGCCGCTAGCAGGCCCATCCGCTTGACGAAGAGTGCGGCTGCTCAAGTTGGACAAAGAGAACATGTAAGTACTAGATTTGGGATGGGGATAACAGTAGGATAACCATAATGCAAAAGCCCGCTTACCTGCCGCCTCAACCGCTCACTTGTCTTGACGGTGGCCCCTAGCATGTGGCCATAAACCTGGCCCATAACTAGCGATTGTTTGTCAACGGCCCTAAGCACCACATAGACCGGAATCATGAGGCGAAGCACCGCCGTCCCGCAGTCCCAAAACACATCTTCCAAAAGGAGCTTGCGGACCGCCTTACCCTCCTCCGACCGTGCCACCGCCACCTCCTCCCATTCATCGTTAATAATCATCTCCCTAAGTGCATTCTTCAATTCTAGGAAGCAGCCGAGCATGATCACGTGTGTGCCAAATCGTCTTGCACTGGGCCGCACCAGGGATAACTTGCTGAAAGGCTCTCGGAATAGAGTGACGGCGGAGGCGTTGTCTTTCACCATCATCACCACACGGTGAACCTGGCCTACGACGCATCCAACAGCCTGAATCTTTCCAAGATCGTGCAGCATGAGATCCAAGACGTGCGCGGCGCAGCTGGTGGAGAATACATGGGGAACAATCAGCAGTCTTAGAGTCGATGATGTCAACAATCAGGGGTGCCGTATCATTATGGGCGATGACACAAACCATGGCACGGACTTTAGGCATGTCCACCCATCCACCGGGAGGGTGCACCCGCCCATGCTCCAGCTGTCCTTGAGCGGCCTTACCAAGTCTTCGGTGTCCTCCTTAAGCTTCAAGAGCAGCGGGTCCCTGTAGGGGGAAGGGAGGGTGTAGGGTTATCCCGAAGTTGACGGCCGCGTCAACAAAAGCTTGGAGTGCCTTCGACTTAGAGGTGTAAAATGCACGGTGATTCTCTGCCACTTCTGCAGCCCACAGGTAATCTAGACCACTGCGCGCAACCGTATCCGTCATGTCGCGTATTTCCCGTTGCCTAGAGCAACGCGCGGGCTGCAGCTCAGCCGTGGACGTTGATCCATGGTTGGATCCATTGCCGGTGGATGAACGTTCCTGCTCGGCTGCCTCACAATGTTGCTTAGCGTACTCTGATGTGCACATCGCCACGTTCCTCGATTTGGACAACAGCGTCCTGAAAATATGCTATCATATTCGGGTCGCATTAGGGGTCACAGTAGTTTCACAGTGGATGCATGTCGCACTAACTACGGCGCTGTCTGGTCTTGTCACCTTTTTAACATTCTCCCAGAGTTCTGAGAAAGGTCTCACCATGGCGTCTATGCTGACACAAACGCGGTATTTTGTTGAGCTGAGGTAAGGCTAGAGCTATGAAGAATTTATCGAATGAATGTTCGCACCTCCAATTTGTACCTCGTAAGGTTTGCTGGTGCTGCTTTGTTGAATGATTTTGAAAAAGGGATGAGATGAGAGGGAAGAAGATCGAGAAACTTCTATTGGTTGGAAAGATTTCGCATCGTGAAGGTTGGTTGTTTCGCGCGGGCCGCGAAAATAGTCAACGACCAGGCGAAATGGGTAAGCAAGTGTTATCCGTTCGTGAAATGCACAAAATGTCGAGCCCCGCTAAATTGTTCATGTTGCGCTTAGGCGAAAGAAGCAAACGGGTAGACACTTGTTAAACGTTCGCCAAATTCCTAAATGTCACACCTCGAGAATGTGTTGCCATTCACGATTTGGCAAAAAAACACATTCGACTGAAGTTTCTCAGTGATAGGGTGATGGTTGGGAAATTTCAACATTCAATATTCACATTCCCAGTTTCGAATTTTCGGCCAGAAAAACGACTGTATTTTCGAACCAACTAAACAATGCAAGGTCTGACTGTTTAATACTACTGATTTTTGAACCTTGCCCACGACTCCCCCCCTCTGCTATCCACATCCCTTTGCCACTCCTTGTTCCTCCCTGCTGTTGTACTTCATTGATTTCATGCCTTTGCTGTCTCAGAAGAGTTCGCAACTGCCACTACACAATCTCAACCTAAACAATCGCAGTCCTCTACAGTTGCCTAGCCCTAGCCCTTCCAAACTATTTAAGCCTTCAGAGTTCCAACCACCCTCTGTGGACAGGCTCGAGTCACATGTTTCGTTGAAGTGGTGTGCTGTGCTGGTGAACAAGTGGTAGGGAGTTGAGGCTGTTTGGGGTTGAGATGTCTGTGGCATTCACTGCGAGACTCCCCATTCACCTTCATCGTATGCTCCATGCACTGCTGCTCTGCACTATGGTTTATGGAGTAGCACGTTGCAAGGTATGCACAATGTTACTACATGTAGACGTGAGCAAATTCCCGAACCCCTGTTTGGTTCGAGTCGAACGTGTTTGACTCGAACCGAACAGGGGTTTTTTTTTGCCCAAAAATGTTCGTGACGAACACCTAGGTGTTCGTCACAAACATGTTCGACTGTTCGTTGCGGTTCGTGCAAAAAAATGCACGAACACCTAGGTGTTCGCGAACACTTTGTGTTCGCGAGCGAACACCGAGGTGTTCGTCGAAATCCAGCGCGTCAATTTTTGACGCGCTGGTTGGATCTAAAAGGGGAAAGCCACGATTGAGCTCATTCTTGGGCTCAATCGTCGATTTCCACTTAGGATAGCTTTCCGCCCACTACCCATTTAAACTGCACCACTCCCATGGTTTTAAGTCCACATTGAGGCTAGAAACGTTAAGTATAAGGGTAGATTAGGTTAGGAAACGTTTAAAAACAGAATTCAATAGCATTTCGTTTTAGCAAAGAGTTTAGCAAGACGGATGGATTCCGAAATGGTTGATGTAGGGTTGGTTAGCAGCCAAGACAAGGCCATTCCTGGCCCGTCCGCACTACTAGATACTGCAACTGGGACCGCAAGCCCTCTCGCACCTCTCGAGCTCATAGGGGGGCAATATCTAGGAGTCCCCACGTCACCAAAAAGCTACAGGTTTAGTGGCGGGGGGCTGGCTGCACCCTCACATCGGTATGGGAAGTCTCGTGATGAGATCGAAGAGATTTCAGAGGAGGTCGAGGAGGATGCGGAAGAGGGGGGGGGGGGGGGAGAGGAGGTCAAGGGTGGCGGGGGGGGGGGGGGAAGCCAAAGGGATTGGCTGGAGAGTGGCGGCTGGAAAAGAAGCGCCCACGCATCCAACGTAGTCCATCCGATAGCACCGACAAGGATTATGATCCGAAGAAAGATGGGGATTGCGCGGGGTTGAGGGATGACGACGAGGAGGAGGAGAAGGGTGAGGAGGAGGAGGAGGAGGAGGAGGAGGAGGAGGAGGAGGAGGAGGAGGAGGAGGAGGAGGAGGTGTCCCAGCCGGGGAAAGCTAAGAGGAAGGCATGGGGGGAAGGAAATTGCTAAGGCAGTGGAGAAGGTGGTGGTGCAGTGGAAGTTGCAGATGCGTTGCCTCGGTCTCACGACCGACAATGCGTCTGCAAACGTAGTTGCTCTTCGGCACCTGGCGGAGGAGGGTGAATTCTCGGGGTACTTCAGCGAGAAGGCACACTACAGGTCCGTCTTGTAGCTGGATTCAAAGTTCCTAAACCTGGTCCCTTTTGCTTCTGTCCGCACCATAACACCCTTGTAACCACGTTCGCCGGTTTGAAACCCTAAACCCCTCCGATCCAACGCAGGTGCCTGTCGCACATTGTGAACCTAGCAGTGCAGTCTGGGCTGGGTGTGGAGTCGATGACGGTGCCCCTGAAGAAGGTGCGGGAGATTACTACGTGGGTGGGTGGGCATGTCGCCCCAGCGAGGAGCCGCCTTCATTGCGCTGCAGGTTTGGCATGGAGTGCTGCCCAATGGGCCGCACAAGCTCGTTCAGGACAGTCCTACGCGGTGGGGGTCCACACACGAGATGGTTAAGCGCTTCTTGCTGCTGAGGCCCTTCATCGACATGCACTTTGCCCGCGAGCAGGTACGGCTCCATTCGTATCCATTGCAATCTGTGTTGATTGGACGCGTAAGAGCTGTTGCTTTGAAGATTGTCAGAATCCACTACGTTCCAACCATTCCCCAAGCCTAAGCACATGTACTCAATGTCATCCAACCCAATCTTGCGCCCTCACCTAATAAACAGGGCACCACGAAGGAAGAGAAGGATAAGTGGCGAGGTTTGCATGTGACCGATGTCGAGTGGGAGGCCTTGGGGGCTTTGGAGGGGTTTCTCCGTCCCTTTGCCAGAGTCTCCACGGCCGCCGAGGGGTCGACCTACCCCACTGTGTCGATGGTGCTGCCTTACTTCTACGCCCTCATCGACAGCCTGGAGAAGAAGCTGCACACAGGGACGCACGAACTAGTTCGTCCACTCATGTCTGCCGCGCTGGGGCACCTGAAGCAGTACGAGTTTGCCATCGGGGTCGAGTACTGGATCGCGACCTTCTTGGATCCGTCCATGAAGACCGAGTACTTCAGGATGACACACTGGGAGCTGATGCATCCAGGCATAGTGGCACGTGACGGTGGGCGGCTTAAGCCACGCATGAGTGCGGACAGGGTGGTGAGCTTGGTGCGCCGCCGAGTGGAGGAGTACCAAGCTCGAGCAGCACGTGAAGCTCCCACCCCACCACCAGCACCAGCAGCAGCAGTGGTGACACCGTTCGAGGAGGACGACGACGAGTTTGTGTTCTCTAGGGCACAGCTGCAGAAGCGTGTTTCAGCTAGCGCAGCGGCGAGAGCGGGGGGGAGGGGGGACGTCGGTGGGGGATGAGGTGGATCGGTACTTAGCGGAGCTGCCTGTCTCGGACGTGCCAGCGCTGCAGTACTGGCAGCATGCGAGGAACATGTTCACGTTGAGGCAGATGGCACGGGATTACCTCGCTATCCCCGCCACCTCTGCAGCTAGCGAGCGAGCTTTCTCCATGGGGAGGAACCTCATCTCCTTGCACAGGCACAGGCTGAACACTGAGCGTGTTAGCGCGAGCATGACTCTCAGGTCATGGTACACGTCACACCCTGGGAAGAGTATTGGTGAGGAACCCGGCCGCAGCGGAGAGCAGGCACCACCAGAGTTGGCGCTGGAGGGAGAGGGGCTAGATGAGGGGGATGATGAGGAGGCTGTTGTTGTGGGGGGAGGAACCGGAGTTGAGTGAGGGAGTTGCATGGGGACTTGGTGCTGTCTGGCTTTGTTTTGCATGTCCTTGACTTGACGTTGCCCTGAACTTTGAGCTGTTGACTTATTTATCCATATTTCACTAGACCATGTGCGCGAGACATTGCGGATCTTCGCTGCTACCTTTATTTACATTCTGATTTCGCTTGTAGAACACACGCCCTGAGTTTCTTACATGCACTGAATGTGATTATAATAGAAAGTACCCCACCCCCCATGGCAAACTGTTCGAGTTCGTGCCAAACACCTTAGTGTTCGGCCATGCCTCAAAACTGTTCGACACTATACTCGAACGGGGAACACTAACATTTACGAAAACTGTTCAGGACAAACGTGTTCGGTTCGGTTCGAGTTGACCAAGTGTTCGTCAACTGTTCGAGTCAAACGTGTTCGGTTCGCTCGTTGCTCATGTCTAACTACAAGTATGAGTGTCATCAAATCCCACGAAAGTCGGGTTACCATCATCTCACCCCTCGCGTTCCTCACCAGCTTTCAATTCAAGACTTGTGTGTTTCTTTCTTTCCCTCATGACATGCCCTCTCTACTCCTTACGCCCAACTCACTTAACCTTCACAATGGCAATTGTCTACATTTGCATTGCTCTAGCCCTTGTGAATGAATCATGCCTTCCACGTTTCTGCCACCCTTTGTGGACAGGCATTCGAGCCTCTCGTCTCACCATGCACAACTCACTCACCCCACACAGGAACCTTCGGAATAACGAGCTCACGGGCTCCATTCCCAGCAGCATCTCTGCGCTCACAGCACTCACATGGGTGTAAGAGGCACACTGGATTTGCTCCACCTATGTGCTGCTCTGCCCACTGTGTGCTGCATGCCATGTGCGCATCACTGCTGGCTCTCCTCCACTGCCCATGCACTCTGCATCCCAACCTGTGGTCCTGTAGTGTACATGGGCAATGGGGCGAGTTTCTCGCCTGGCTCATCTGGAGAACTCGTCACATAGCAAGTGATGAGTCTCGGTTCTAGCGGAAAATCTCATTTGTACCCGACCAGTTTTTCCTAGATCCGCCAACCCTGGCCTAATTGATTAGTCGCTCTGGATCAGTTACGACCAGTAGCACACATTACTATGTGGTCCCTTTTTAGCTTAAACTAGGTTTTCACTAGTGTAGGAGCGATGACGTAGTTACGGATTTAGATCCTTCCAGGATTGTACATTGCATGCGCCCCTAGTTTCAGTTATTCTAGCAAGCACAGTGAATGGAAAGGCGTACATTGTTAAGGTTCGCTCGTACGGATTCTGTATCCGTCATGGCCCGCGCGAAATAAATGGCGAGTAAGCCGAAGCCACCTGCTGCTGGATGCGGCTGTAGGGGCCACGGCCGCGGAGGCAGAGTGTGAACATGCCTCTAGGGCGGCTGCTGGTATCACACTAATGGCGACGATGGTGTTAGGGAGGGAGGATCTGAGCAGGATAGGAGGTGTGATAACGAAGCGAATGTGGAATGTGAGGTGGAGGAACACGGTGCTGAAGGTGACAAAATAATAGGCGACGCTTTGGCTGAAACTTGGTGTCATGAAAAGTGGGAGAGGGGGAGCATGCAAAAGGGGCGGAGGATATGGAGGTGGTTGAGGGAGAGGAGGAGAAGGTGGATGAGGAGGAGGAGGAGGAGGAGGAGGAGGAGGAGGAGGAGGAGGAGGAGGAGGAGGAGGAGGAGGAGGAGGAGGATGAAGAGAGCGAGAAGGGGAGTGGTGACAACTCCGAGGAGGAGGCGGATGATGGTGACATGGCTGAGGATATCGTCTACTTGGTCAACAAAGGGCTGGACGACGGATGGAGGGAAAGGAAAGAAGAGAAAGAGTGGTGGAGGGGGTAAGGGAAAGAAGGCTCCCGAGCGAGTTGGCGGGGGAAGTGGTGATGGACCGGGGAGAGGTGGTGTGCGAGGGAGAGAGAGGGGTTGTGGTAGAGCTAGGGGTCGCGGGAAAGGGCATGTCTAATTAGTAGTATCACCAGCCTGGTATGCATCGTTTAATCGATAACTTCTACAGTCGGCGTAGTGACTAGGTTCTGTATCGCAACTTCCAAGACCTTCATATTCTCACCTTCATGTCATTTCAGAATGTGAACGCGGCGACTAGCCGAAAACAAGAGATCGGGATGACACGCAACAGTTACAGATAGACGATAGCCAAGGAGATTCTGATACTGTACAGTTGTTCATGGCAAGAGAGGCGAAGCGGCGTCGAAGGAGATGATCGAAACAACGTCGAGAGGTTGATGCGCGGTTTAGCAAAATGCGTAGACAAGGTCGTTACAAAAAGAGATATCTGTTGGATTCTGAGAAACTGATTCATATTGCACATACCTCGCGTCATAGTCGAGGCCGTGACTTTGGTCAAAGCCAACGAGCTTTGAACTGCTCGATGGAAACGCCCACTTGCCATATAACATGTTCTTGTTAGCTGTTTAGAATCACCTTCCAGTATTACGATCCCCTAATGCATCGATTTTCCGGTCTCCTGTAGAGTTGCATGCCCACTCACCCCCACCTTTTCTTTTTTGTCTGCATCCGTTTGCCACTCACTGTTCCTCCTTGCTGCATAACTCACACAACCACCACTTCACAATTTCAACCTTTCCAGTGATTTGAGCCACAATCAACTTTCGGGGCCTGTTTCAGCCGTATTTGGGAGTCTCACTCCACTGGAATTGTAAGCTGCGCTGGATGGGTTCCATGCCATGCCATATGTCCATGCTGCCACTCATTCATTGCACATGTGTCCATGCATTCTGCATTCTCCCTCCCTCTGCAATGTGCATCCATATTTCCCACCACAATATAAGAGCCGGGGATGGTTCGGAGAGTCATGATTATCCGAGAATGTTGATCTTCTCTGCAGCACAACTGGTTCTTTCTCATCCAACTAATGTCCCCGGCCATTAAAACTATATGTGTTTATATAACTGAGAACAAACCCTAAAGACAGGATGTTGATAGCTATGAGATTGTGTGTCTTGACTTGACTAGTTCATGCTGTCTGCGTACAAGTTGTCCAAATATACAAGGCTGAGTCACACCGGCATTCTCTCCTTTGTCAAATTGCCCACTTCCATTTCAGAAATATTGAAGGCAACGACGTCACTTGTCCTGCTGACAACACTAGCTGCGGCCAAACCCCATTGGCAAACGGGGTATTATGCCAGAAGTGTGCCACCTTTTGTAGTACATGCCAGCGACCAACAGGTCAGTAGGGGACGTAAAGCTGCGCCTAGCTGAATTGCCCCCACCCCACTTCTGATATGCTAGTGACGGCCAGCTCATTCACTTTGATAAACGACATGCTGTTTCTCTGCTCAAATTATATGCTGTCGCTTCGCTTAAAGACATGCCCGAGTTGTTGCCACGACTTGCTTTGGTTTTTGTTGATACAGAACCAACCACTAGCAACAACAGCAGCAGCAACAACAGCAGCAATGGCAGCAACAGCAGTAACAGCAGTAACAGCAGCAACAGCAGCAACAGCAGCGAGTCTTCGTCTCCAGCTGCATCTGGAGGTGGTGTATCAGTGGAAGCCATCATTGGCATCGTTGTTGCTGCTGTGGTCCTTCTCCTGCTTCTGGCCGCCATACTTCTCTGCTTCAGGCACCAGAAGCAGCGAAATATCAAAGGTACGAGAAGCGGAATTGCAGAGCCAAGACGTTGGTGCTGCATATGCTCTTGCTTCATGAGGATCAATCGTTTTTTCCTTTTCTACCTTAACCATGATCAGACAGACAAGGCAAGGCGAGGGCTCTTTGAATACCTCATCACGTCACCCTTCACCCCCACACCACGAGCAGGTGTGGGAGGCAGCCTGGCAGCCTCACACTGCACGGAGTTCTCGCTGGCTGAGGTCATCAAGGCCACCAATGACTGGTCCCACAACAACCACATTGGCTCGGGTGCCTTTGGCGATGTCTACAAGGGCATCTCTCCCCGCGATGGCACCACGCCTTGGGCTGTGAAGCGCTCCAAGCTCATAGACGTGGACTTCCAGAGGGAGGTGAGTGAGATGAATCTATGGAAATGGCTGGACTGCAGACTCGGTCGACATGGGTAAAGCAATCTCCAGTACTTTCACTACACGAAAGGAAAGCAATCTACCGCAACATTGTATATTTTGGTCCAGAATGTACATCACCCTGCCCCTCTTTCTGATTAATTCAACTCTTTCTCTTCGCAATCTAGTCCTCTTTTGCTACTTAATTCAATCCGCTTTCTCTTCTCACTCTAGTCCACTTTCTCTTCTCATTCTGCTCTATTGTCTCCTCTAACTCAACTCCTCTTCCCCCTCTGAATCCAATCCTCTTTCTCTTCTCGATCTACTCCTGTTTCTAGAAAATGAAAACAAAAGCAATCTAGATGTTGTTCAGGATCCGTCACTTTGAGAGCTTACGACGAACTCAATTCTCAACTAAACGCAAATCCGCTCGGTAGGATTGTGCGCCTTAGCCTAAGCTACCATCTCCAAGTTGAATCAGTCGTTAAGATGGTCTACAGAGTGAGAATCAAGTAAAAACGTCCAGCAGCCGCATAACTAGAATGGTAGAAGAAGTACAAACATTAAGGCATGGAATGTTGGAGTTGGGGACTCCAAGAGAACCATGAGAGGGAAGAGGTTCTCCAAGAGTTTGGGAAGGATGGTAGGAACCTTCCTAGCAGCAAGGATGCAACCCTCATCATGAGGTCCTTGAGGTGTCACATGCAAAATCCAATCTAGTTGGATTTTGCCTAGGTGTTGCAACATTTGCAACCCATGCTAGAAACTTCTAGCCACCCCAATCCAAAAGTCAAAGGTGCCTTCCATAACCATCCAACCAAAGATCCCTTTATAGTCATGTCCTAAGTAATCACCCAGATTAGATATAACCTTAAAAGTAAATAAGAAATCCAAGTCTTGGAAATCTTGTAACTTGGGCGATCTTGGTCGGAATAAGGCGATCTTGGTATCGTTGGAAAGTTCTGGATTTCTCCTGCATGATCAAGCATTTAAACTTCGAGATGTTGGTGCAACCCTATGGTTTGCACTCGGCTTGTTGTCCGTGTGCGTGAATGTGTGTGTGTATGGAATGGTATGAGGGCATGGGATAATATACTTTTCATGCTTATAATTGTGTGTGAATGTCGAGTCATGATGTCGAGTGTGTGTGTCGAGTCAATAGCGAGTTATCGCTAGACGCGTGTTACGCGGTCGTTTGTGTCTCGCGCGCGGTTTCTATTTTGTCGTGCGCGGTTTCTATTTTGTCCTGTGTCGAACGTTCGGCGTGTCGCAGGTGTGTGCAGCACACCCATCAAGAACTCAAGGATGAGTTTGTGATGAAGAGCCCGAGCCTTGGTGTCAAGCCTCAAGTGATTTCGAAGCTCGCCAAAAAGGGTACACCTCAAGATATTGAAGATATTTACATTACTTTGTGTAGTGTAACATTTCACTTGGTGTAGGCCCTAGTGAAGGGTAGTTTCGAGACCCTTCGTGGTTGGGGACAGTGTGGCACTGTTCCACATTACTGTACCTCGGCTCTTGGGGTTTGTAGGAGCTGGGAGTCATTCCCAACTCGTAACTCTTCCTATCTTGTGTTCTAAGACTATAGTGGCTGCCATAGTACCGTTCGTTCAAACCGACGCTGTGTCGTCAATTCTTTATCAAATCGTGCAATCTAAATTGCTAATTGTAGACGACGTGAAGACGCTCCAGATCCAATTTGAATCAGGTCATTTGCAGCTGTGAGCAGAACGCTATCAACGTTTGAAGCCGCTGTGCAGAAATCCGTCTGTGCTCTCTATCTTTCGTTTTAGGCACATTCAAGCCTATTGTGACTATAACAAGTGGTATCAGAGCCCCTTGGAGCAGTTTCGACAATGTCTGGACCTGAGGAAAGGGGTGGCAGAGGTGCTGGTGGCAGTGGAGAAGCTCAAGCTCAAGGCCAACCCCGTGATTCAGCCATGGCGCCCATGCAACCAAGTCTTGGCCCACCTAGGGATGAGCCTAGGGTGTTTGGGCTTGACAAGTTCAACGGTGACAACTTTGCTGAATGGTCCTTCAAGATGGAGAACATCTTTGACCACTATGACCTGCTAGAGGTGATGGAAGGAACGGAGAAGCGCCCCGAGAACGACCCGGAGAAGAGCCCGTGGGTGCGGAAGAGCGCACAAGGCTATCTCTTACTTGGGCAAGCGTTGGGGAGCAGTCAGATCCGTCACATCAAGCCATTCCAGCGTGAACCAGAGAAAGGACCAAAGGCATGGGCTGCTCTCAAGGGTGTACATGCTCCTGCAACAGCGGCGGTAGCGGTGGTGTTGGAACGGCAAATGGCGGCACTACGAATTGAAGAAGACGAAGCGGTTGAAGAAGGGGTGCAGAAATTCTTCGACTTGTTGACGCGGCTTGAGGGAGCTGATTTGAACTACAGTGAGCTCCAAAAAAAGACCAAGTTGCTGGCCTTACTCCCAGAGTCATGGTCCTCGCTCATCATCAACCTTAATCGCGACTTGCCCCGCCTCTCGCTTGAAGACGTGAAGCGAGCTATCCTTCAAGAGGATTTCCGCCGCCGTGAGTTGGCGAGTGCGGATGGCGCTGGAGCAGCGAGCATCGGCCGTGGATATGGTCGAGGAAGAGGCAGAGGACGAGGGGGAGGAAGGTTTGGTGGCAGCAACTTCGGCGGAGGCCGCAGGAGTGGCGGTTACGGCAGCGACGACAAGAGCTACGGACGCGGTCGCGGCCGATTCGACGGCGAGTGTCACTATTGCCACAAGAGCGGACACATGTGGCGCGACTGCTACAAACTCCCTGATGGTTGGACCCCTGCTCAAGGCCAAGAGGGTAGAGGAGCAGGAGGAGG